AAAAAAAAAAAAAAAAAAAGTTTACGTGAAACCTACCACAAAGAAATGTACAATGCTGCAGCAGCAAGAAGAGATGGCACAATATGGCAAAGTTCATACTCCAGAATTCCCATTTCCATTACATATTTTGCCATAACATGTGTTAAAGCTGCCACCTAAAATGAAATAATTTTTTTTGAAACCTGCAAGTTGTGCAAAACCTAAATTACCTATAGTAGTACTATACCTTGTCAGCTTTACTGTAACGCCTGAGAAAATGAATCGGTAATGGGCGTCCAAATGAGCAGTCCAACGATTTTACCATATTCAGTTCCATTTGTAAAATTTCTCGCTTTGAATATGCATTTGCAGAAACATACACTAGTTCAGTAATGTCTGGAATCATCATTTCCTCATATTTACAAGCAATGAACATGGCAGTTGTGCCTACCAATTGTAGTTGATTTCTACTTGTACCAGGATTTTTCTGAAAAAAATTAAGTTAGTTATAAATCTATATATTCTTGAACTATTTGAATATTAAGTACTGCAAGACATACCTCCAAGTATCTGTCAATAATAGCAACAGTTAGAAACAATGTTTCAGAATTCATTTCGAAGTCTCTTTGTACTTCAACAAGCCAATCTATTAAGGTAGCTCTCATCTTACCAGTCAATTTAGAGTTTTTAAGGTATTGGGGAGAGATTGGAAATTTCACCTTAAAAGTAAAAAATAAAGTTGTGGTTACACAAACAACAGCAAGTCAAATCAACAGTAGGAAAGATAATACCTCCATTTCCCGCAAATATTTGTACATATCTTTGGCATACATTCCCAACATAATAGGGTCATTTTCATCATCTTTATCTATATCGACAACACAGGAACTGTCAAGGAGATTACTTGAGAAAGCACTTAACGTGGCATGTCTGGAATTAGCATCAGTTTTGGTTTCTTCTTTTAAGGTTTCTTTTTCTGAAACTTTGGTAACAGGTTGTGATTCTTTACATTTAATTGGCCCATCTTTTGAATCTTGAGGTCTAATGGAAGAAAAAAAAAAAAAACCACCTATGAAAATACAATGTTCGTAGTCAAATTTGTAATTTATAAAGAATCTGCTTTATACCTGAAACTTTGCTTGAAATCTCCAGTATTGGAAGTTTGCTGAATGTTTTTTAACACGCGATCCTGCTTCAAGCCAGGAGCAGGTCCTTCTTTGGGTGCTCTCTCAGCTGCAGGAAGAGTTTTCTTTTCAGGAACTTTGCAAATACTTAACCTACTGTGCTGAGCTCTCAAAAGACATGCTTTAGTCTGCTTTACTTGTATACTAGGTTGCCTGTTGGAGAAAAGGGCATTACAATCATTACAACTAACAGAACAAATTTTGTCTAACAGATAAAAGAAACATTTACTTGTTGGCAGTCTGCTTTACTACAGGGAAATTCGTGGTCGGAAAAGTCTCTTGTTTTTTCTCAGGAGCTTTGATCAGGTTAGGTGCTCCCTTCCCTTTAGGTTGAACAACTTTATTTCCAACTTCTTTCAGAGCAGCTCTCTTGACCTCCACCTGGGGCTTCTGCTTCACCTTAAACCCCTGATTTTCATCAGTAGCCTAGAGGGAAATAAAACTATGAACATGTGATTCGATTCATTAAGTAATGATGCGAGATTGATACGTACGGCTAAGAGCGATTATGAAGTAAACGAGAAATTTACGACTTTCATTAAATGCACAGCAAGTCATCCACCCAATTCAACACGATATAGTATCCGATACTCACCAAATTCCTCGTGGTAAGAGTCGCCATTTCACAATTTAAATCCTCCAGTCGATTCTGCAAACAATCAACAACCGGAATTTTCGCCGCAAATACAGTAAATAGCCGGGAACAACTGACACCATAACCAGCTACATTAAGCAAGGAGCTCGTCGGGTGTCCGTTTAAATTCCCTACAGAACGAGAATTCCGCCAATAGCAGAAAAGAGGGTACGGTAGTGTATTGTGATTGGCCCCAATTAACAAAACCACTCTCCAGCCTGCTGTTTTGTTGCCACATGGATAGTTAAAATTTCATGGAGATCGTTTTCATTTATGCCTTGCGACAGAAACGTTAATAAAGATAACTACTATTATTGAATGAACCACTTCCAAACAATTTTCAATGCTGCATTTAGCAAATAAATGCGTACTCCGATATTTATTTAGGTCTGTGTCAACATTAATTGTTTCTACAATAAATTCTGCCGCAGTTGTTTTTTACATTTACATTCGTTATGTAGTGAAAATCAATAAAGATGTATATAACTGTCATTATGACAATTTTATATCATAATTGTTCGTGTTTAAAAAATCAGACATAAGGAAAACTTTTTTATTTCGAAGTTGGCAGTTATGGGTCTTGACAAAAGAAGTTGGTGTCACTGAGAAAGCGCGCGGTTTTCTAGGTACAACGGGTACAACGACGAAAGGGTGAATGGGTGGATCCTGATACATCTGTTGTCAATAATGTAGAGCGATGCAGTCTACTTAATAGCTTGTGTTTAATGTAATGTTCCATTGAGTAGGCAACTAACATAATTGGTTCATTAAACTGTGATAATGCGTGATAATTTTAGTTTTGTGTGCAAGAATTTATGGTTCCCTTTTTTTTGGAAGTAAACCACCTTAAGTCAGTTTTGAAGTAATTTCTTGAAGAAAAAAACCGCAATGAAGGACCACGGCGTGAAAGAAGATTCCTTAAGCGAAGGTAATGATGGTAGGCTTTGGAGAGACTCAAAATAACCGGCGGGCTTTCGTTCTGTTTCCTTCGACCTTTAAGCAAATCCGAGAGGCTTCCTTGCTTTGCTTCTGAATATAAAATCTAAATTTTCATCATCGCAAGAGTCTCATGCGGTTCCAAATCTTTAAAGTTAAATAAAGTAAATTAGATAAAATCAGTTCTTGACAATAAATAAATTTTAGAAGATTGTTTTTCTTATCCAAGTAAAATATAAATCATAAATGCGGAGTTGCATATCAAACCTGATTATAGCAATTGCATGTCAATGCCATGTAGCCTTCATAATCAAGTGTCGAGTATTTTTGCATAATACTTTTAATGTGATTTAGCAATTGTGATGTGACAATTATTATTTCAGTTCAAAATGCAACTAGTGCTGAGGAAATTGATGAAATACGGAAAAGAAACATCGCATATGAATATTTATGTCATCTGGAAGAAGCAAAGATGTAAGTTTTTGTCAAAATATTCATGCTTAAATCAGTACTGTTAAGACTGAAGCATGCACACCTCTAGCACCAGCAACGATTTATTTGTGTGTTTAGTTGATATGAAATTATTGTAGAAGGTACATTTGTTCGTGGTTTCTTTTGTGTGTTTTATTTATTTATTTCTTGACTTCATTTGATTATCTTTTAAAGAAGAAACCTAGAAGTCACTGGAAAATATATTCTTCACTAATTGTGACATCTAAAATAAAGTTTTTGATGCATCCTTTGATTTTTATTTGTCACAAATCAGAAATGAAAATAGTTGTGTGATGAATGTAAACATTGTAGGGAAAGATTTTGTTGTATTTCAAAATTTATATCAACAACCACTATTTGCAGGATTGGTTTGAAATTTGCTCGTTGGTCACATAAAATTTGTGTGAAACGTGCTAAAAAGTAATCCTAAATTTTTAAAATTTCCGTTTTTCTCCATATTTTTTAAATTCCTTATTTTTTCAAATCAATTATTACTTTGATTTTCATGCCAATTAAGTGTTTCATAAGATATTTATTGCAGGTGGTTGGAGGCTGTTCTTCATGAGAAGTTGCCTCCAACAACTGAATTAGAAGAAAGTCTTCGTCATGGAGTATACTTGGCAAAACTTGGACATTTCATTGCTCCAGAAGTGGTACCAGTATCAAAAATATACGATCTTCAATTGCAACGTTACAATGTTGCAGGGCTGCAGTTTCGTCACACAGATAATATAAATTATTGGTTGAAAGCACTTGTTATTTCTGGTTTACCTAAAGTAATTAATCGAAATTATTTTGAACAATAGTTCGAAAATATATATTACTATTATTAATGATAAAAAATAAATGGATTTTAATTTTTTTCAAATCGTGCATCTTGTGAAAATTTTTTTTTCTTTTCAGACTTTTCATCCAGAAACCACCGATGTTTATGATAAAAAAGGAATGCCTAAAGTTATATATTGTTTACATGCCCTTAGTACTCATTTGTTCAAGATGGGTCGGGCACCATTAATACAAGCTTTGTATGGGAAAATTAATTTCACAGGTAATTCTCAAGAAATAGTTGTATTTACGCATCACTTGGTGTTTTCTTTAAATATAATCTGTAATTGTAGATGATGAAATAAGTAATATGAAACTAGCTTTGGAAGATAATGGTATTCCGATGCCTGCATTTCAAAAGATTGGTGGACTTCTCTCGGAGGATTTAACTGATGACACCAGAGCTTTGCATGATGTAATTGTTAAAATAAATTATGCCCTCGATCAAACGGTATGTCCTTGTGTATAAACAAACTTTCTCCAGACTGTTAAGTTTAGAGGTTGAACTATTATGTTGAAACATTATTATTTATAGGATACTGAAATGCTGCTTCATGCCCTTGAAAATCAAGTTGCAAAATTACACGATGTTAAACCTTCATATATTAAACATTATTGGAATGTATTACGTGATGCAAAGATTTTGAAGGTGAAAGCTGCTATGAATAGGGTGAGTTTGGTTAAGAATTTCTTAGTAGAACTTTGCAGAATTGTTCATTTTTGTAAGTGAAGAAAAACCTAGTGTTCTGAAACCTTTTTTAAAACTTACTTTCTTGTGTCTTCGTAAAGTGAAGTTCACTTGTTTGTTATTCTGTGCCACGAGTTTTATTCCAAAGCCATTTAATTTTGAATTATGAATTTTACTACTTTTTTGTAGTCCTTAGTGTTTGCACACAAGATGAACGATTTAATCTTGTTAGTACAGCAATCAATAATTTTGACTAATAATATAATTAACTTTAATTTTGACACTGGTTAATTTCAACATTGATAAATTTTTCCAATTATTTAGACCAATTATTGTAATTTCATTTTCATGACAAACAATTATAAAATTAGTTCTCTATACACAAATTTCAGCAGTGGAATGCATTGTCCTTCTTATCTCTCAGACCTATGAAAAATAGTGAAGACAACATAAGCAATTATTTCATGTTAGAAAAACCGATAAAATTGTGAAGCTTTTTTTTTAATACTTAAATTCTCAAATCAGTATTTAGATATCATATATATTTTATTCATCATTCAACTCTCGTTAAGGCAATCACAAAACACACAAAAACAAAAGACGTTGACATTGTATAGACAAACTATATAAACTCTAGTTCACACTATAAATGTAGTATATCCTAATATACGACCTTACGCTTGTATTACAATTATAATACTTCATCTCATCTAATACCAGTGTTTGCGTTTAATATTTTACGGGATTTAATAAATTTAGCCTTGCACAATGATTTAGGAAATATTATCTGCTATATGCTCATTTGAATCAACTTTACATATGTCTATAATTCCTTCCAAGGAGCTTTTATTTATGAAGTAGTAATGTACTTCTGTATACTTGAAGTTCTTTGTGAAATTGTCTTTGTAAATTCTAATTAGTTTACAGAGCTTAATACAAAAGATAATCAAAATATTGTTCACTAATTTAATATCAGTAATTGCTTGATAATGATAATGCCACATATTCTGCAAATGTAGACTTCGTAACATTTCCTTGTTTCTTTGATTTCCAAAAACAAAGTGAGTTTCCAAATTGTCTAATTGCATAACCAGATGAGGACTTAAGATCTATACCATCACCTGCTCAATCTGCATCTGCAAAACAATCTAACATTTCAACATGTTTACCTCTACTATAAGTTGACTCAAAAATTTTTTGTTCAATACAGATATTTTAGAACTCATGGTATATTTCATATGAGTATCGAATCACAATTTTGAAATCTACTTAAATAATTTTCATTGTAGCTTATATCTGGTCTTGTCCCAGACCTAATATATCACAGAGCACGTATCAAATTTGTGTATGTATTATCATGTCATACTTCCAGAGATGGTTCTAATTTTAAATTTACTTCCATTGCTGTATCATACAGCTTTCAATCTTATATTTTACTGCTAATGTTTCAGTATAACTTTCCTTGCTTAATTAATTTTTCTTGTTGTCAGAGTCAATCTTAATTCTAAGATAGTTTTAATTTCACCTAAATCTTTCATCAAAAATCATTTTGACAATAGAGTTCTAATCTCCCAAATTTTCTTTTTATTTTTACTGCAAATCATTAACAAACGTTATTAAATAGATTTTATCATTCCCATATCTCATACCATACAATCATATTTACTACTCATGAACACTTTTTTTATTATTATTATTATTATTATTATTATTATTATTATTATTTTTATTACAATTATACAGTTCTCTAGGGCGCTCTCTCAAACCGTATAATGCCTTATCTAACTTACAAACATTCTTGTAACCTCTTGGTTGTTTTACAGAAATTTATGATGAGACTTTACCATTTAGAAATGCAGTTTCTACATCCATCTGTTCTATAATTAAACTTTCCTCACAGCAGTATGACAGCAACATTTTTAAAGTTTGCATTTTAACTACTGGTGAATATGTCTTCTAGAACTTCTTTCTGTTGAAAACCTTTCATGACTAATCTTTCTTTATAATTTGTTTTTGATTTCTTTGTATAAACCCATTTTACATTTCCTAATTTCCAGTTCTTGTTTTTATTTAAACATTCAATTTCTCTATCCATTGCTCGCTTCCAAAATTCAGATTCTTCACCACTGATAATTTCTTCAAAATTTACAGCACTACCTGCATTACAAAAATGTACTTAAATGTCGTAAACATAATTATCATCATATCTATTTGGCTTCTTCACCCTCTCTCT